ACTGGTAATAATTTTCACTAATAATTTACACACAGACGTGTATTTTAGGCGTTAACGAGTTTCCTAATGATAGAATTTAATAGACTAAATTCAAAGCGTTTGAATTCAATTCTCAACCTTTGTTATTACATTATAATCTTGGCAGGACCATTATGATAAAAATAGCTTTTCAACTAGTAATTTTCTAAATAATATTTATGATAATAATGCTCTCTTCCATAACGACGTAGGTAGAGAGACCACTCATCTTCCTCATTTATCTTCAAAGTTTTAAATAATTTTGCTTGTAAAAGCAACTTATATACTTTTACTACAAATTTTTCAACTCGTTGAGTGTTATCAGAATAATGTGATCAAAGATAATATAGAAAGTCATAAAAATATTTCTTCTTTTAAATGTTTAATTTCCTTTAACTTTTAAAACGCTTAATTCTTAATTAAAAAAAAAACTCATGTTAATTTTACTGCTTCGGGGATTTATAATACCTAGCTCAACTCTGATATACAATAAATTCATATACTTACCTTCATATACCCTACATAAACATACAAACATGATGTTAAAATAATCTACTGTGTAATGAAGATGATTTATAGTCAATCGCGGTGACTCGTGTATGATTACATATGGCTCGTATTTCGTTTTTTCTATTAAAGAATGTCAGACTCTTAAAAGAGGTACATATTCGACGATATTTTAGTTTCCTTGGGAATTGGAAATTCGTATATTGAAATTGGCTTTTTTTCCTTATGCCGTAACTCAGTCGAGGTTTGTAATTTCAAACGGGGAGCAGATTGGTTAATCCCCTGGGGTACGGGTGTATTTCGCTTTATTATTTATTTGACGTGCAGCATACAATTTCTTCGGCCGATAAACTGTTCGAGATAAATATGTGAAACCCGTGCGGAGAATAAGCGTGAACGCCTGAATAAATATATAGAGTTCCATCAACCACACACTCGTGAATATCTGATTTAATTCTTCAAGACTTATGTTTCGTACGCAAAAACAATAATTGTGTGTGTATACTTTTATAATAAAATAACTTTAATTCTACATTTTCTTACGTATATATATAAGAGGCATCTCGAAATGTATGTATTATTGGGTTAATTCATAAATAAGTTCTGCTATAGATAAATAATTGCTGGATTAATTCTTCTGAGAAACCATGAGTTTTTTTTTTAAATCGAAACAAAACAATCACGACAGATGTACACGTGCAACAACTACAGCGAGTACAAGCGAAATTGCAAAAAAAAGCGACCATCAATCGCAAAAATGTGATTTTGCGAACATTTTGACACGACAATGTCCAACCACGTGGAGCTAAAATAACCTGGGAAAAAATTCTAAAGCTGTCACGGTCAGTTCTATCTCATTCTCCTTATTCCGTACTTTGTTCCATCAGATTTTTATTTGTTTAAGTCATTTCAAAATTCATGAAATAAAAAAAAAATTTTTCATGTCAATAATTTTAAATATAATAATTCGGTTTATTAAATAAAAACGAACTTATTTTATCAGCATTTCTGTATTTTCTCCTTTTCCCTGTAATATACACAAATAATGAAAAATTGAACTTCAGCTCTAGTGGAATAAGATGTAATATTAGGATTAATCAACTGTTTAAAGAATTTCAAATATTTGATATAATTTATCATTGAATTATTTGAAAGAACTCTTTGAGCGCACTAAGTAAATTGATCCCTTTAAAAATACGGCACAGCGTTGGTTCGAATTACGGATGAACTGGTCGATGATGCGCACCAGGCTATACATCAGGCTCTGTATACGAAGTCCGAAGAGCCGTGTTCGCCTTCTCGTCACGTAACATCCACCCCGATACGAACGAAATAAGTTATCGCGCGCGGACCGTGTAAACACACACTCTTCCGCGACGGGGCGAGTAAAAATACAATCCGCTATCAATGCCATATGTTTCTCGCGGAAAATGCAAATTTCTACCATGCGGCTCTACGTGAACGGCGTCGCGGAGATACGCACCCGGCCGCGACGGCGAAGAGTGCGCGTTTCCGACGTTCGCCCTGGGGTTTGATTTATATGCGAGTCACGACGCAGGGTGCGCGCTCTCTATGATTTATACGTGCCCGCGGTGCGCGCTGGAAAGTGGCGAAGTCGGGAAATTGTGGGTAGAACGCCTTCCCACGCGGGAGACACGGCCCGGCGCGGTGGGTCGATTAATTAATTAATTCTGCCGCGTCGCGCGCGCGTAACAACGCGATGGACATGATGCCGATAGGGATGCGACGTGTACTTTCGAAGGATTAAAGCTTCCGTCGATGTCCCGTATTATCGTGCGATCTAAACTCCTAATAGGATATCGAAGAGACTATTCCGGAACAGGACTCTCTTTTTCTTCAATTTTGTGCATTATATACTTATGTATTATTCATACAATCGTATGATTTTTTTGTTCAAAATCGAACACTGTATTTATTCAACAAAATGTTAACAAAGGTTATATAGAATGTAATAAATATAGAAATTTTTATTTTATAATGTAAATTTAACAATGTTAATGAAATTACAACATATTGTAATTTAATGAAATTTTTTTTATAAAAGATTATCTAAAAAAAGAAAATTGCATATGCCAGAATTAGTTTGATCACTTCTATATATTTTTACTTTAAAAAAAAGCAGATTTATTATGTGAAAAATAAAATTACGAAGCGATAAGCTGATTTTCAATTAACCATTTTCAGTTAACCATTTCATCTAGCTATTTTTATTAGAGAGAGCACCGTTCATATACCGTTTTATTACACGTATATGGTTCAATGAACTTATATCAAAAGGTTGAATTTTAATTTCGTCTGACATTTTAATTATTAAAAACACGGAACATTGTCATTATTTTACTCTGTTGCAAGATATAACGAACATTTCGGTATTTCGATGAAAATATGTTGTTAATAAATATATTGTACATCGAAGTATCGAAATATCACGTTTAACGGTATATTTCAACTTTTTTATTATTATACGAACTTTGATCGTTTGACAAAGTATTTGGAAACGCATGTTATAAAAAAAAAAAAACATTTTTTTTCTATACAGTTTACAACGCGACTCACATTTACTAACGTACATGTTTAATGGATTTGTGGAAAACGATCATACAATCTTAACGTTTGATCCCACTTTTGTTGCAGTTATTATATCGAAAAATCTCGTAAAATATCTACAACTATTATTGTATTAGAGTTAAACTCTATGGTATCGACAATTTTGCAATCTAGCGTTAAACAGTTTACGATGTGACATCAATTTGTGCTGTTATTATTTTTATTTTATTTCTTTTCTATTATTTTATATTTTTTTTAGAACCGAGAACTGTAAAACAATAGGTTTTACAAAAAAAGAGTTTATTATTTATAATTATATTTAGAGTCGCGAACTTTTGTCAGAGATATATAGGATTTATGGACCAGCTCTCGTCGTTCTCGTTTCTGATAATTAAATCTTATCTATTGCTTTCGCTGTGAATAACATAAACTTCCTGGACGCACGATCTCTTTTTCTCTTTTATCGATTCTTTGCATATTTCAAAAGAGCCACGCCATCATAAATGAGTCGATTAAGGTCGAGAGGTTTTTTAAATGTTATTTTATAGAGATATACGTATGATAACTCGAACAGCATTTTCAATTTCGAGTGTGATTATTTCAAGTACGATTATAAATAAAATCAGAATAAACTATGTTTTGGAATATTGTTTTTATTAATATATGATAATTTTTTGTATTTATTTATATGATGTATACTTTTTTTATAATCTAGAGATTTTTAAAGAGGGATTTTTAGCTTTTTTAGATATATCTGTGCTAATCTTTTATTTGAAAATGTATGTGTAACAATTATATAAAACTCATTAATATAAAAATATAAAAATGTTGAAAAAGTCTGACAAAAGAGTGATCTCTTCAACATCAATAGAAAATAACAGAGTCTAGTATCCGTTAGTCAGTACCGGATAAATGCATTAGCAGATATTGTAAACTGTCACTAATGATTTAATTAATTAATTACACATTTCCGTTATTATTTCCGTTATTATTGAACAATGCACTGAATCATTTTCACAAGTGCCACGTCAAGAGCGAATCTTGAAATTCTATGAGAAATCGATCCGCGTGCGGATAATAATATTCTGGATTTTAATATAATAAGAATTCGGTTATTTTTTGCAAAAAATCTCTTGCATGTGAAAGATTCAGTTCAATTATTTAAATAAAGGATAAAAAATTGAGTAAAACACGACTCACATACTTATGCTAAAAAAATTGTATTCTCATTTGAAGAACTTCTCACTTATTCTTAGATTATTCTGTTCTAGTGAAATAGGTATCAAAAAATTTCTCTCACCTTAGAGAAAAGAAAAATTTTCTAAAGATTAGTATTAAATGTTCCTAATTAATAAAAATGTAGACTTTATAAAAATTCTTAATTTATAAAAAAATGGGATTTATTTTTCATTAATAAAAATATATTACTTCACAAGCAGAGAGAGACTATAAAGAAAGCGTGACATAATTTGAGCTATTTATTAACATTATTCATTTTTCGAATGAGTTAAAATTATTCAGTGACAAACATTAGATATCTGCATTGTAAATTGCGACACTATAATCACATGCATTGTTGCAACAATATGACCATATGCTAAATAAACGATCCATGTAAAAAACATGTGACCATTTGTTATTAACAAATATATATTATACATAAAGTATAAAATATGTTGTTAATTTTAGTATGTTCTAAAAACTTTTAAGAAAATCTGTTAAGAAAAATTTTAGAGTATGCAATCTTACTTTGAGAATACAATTTTTTTCGGTGCAATTTAAAACTCTGTATTAAATAATAGAGATCAAATTTCTATTGATATTATGAACTAAATATGAGAGCAGATGAATTCCATTGCGCATGACATGTCGAATATTGACGAATCAATCTTAGCATTGTAACTTACGTATTGTGCTTGTGTTGCTGGGTTGATTGTGCCTCTTTTAGTCATTGTACGTTTGCACTTTGCGCACGACGCGTACACGATGCACGCTATTGTTACATCTCAACGTCACTTTAGCGAACGAACAATAGTCCCGTTAAAGCTGATGTTCGTTTCCCACTAATTACGGATTGTGTATTGGTGCTGGCTCTAAAACAATTCACCAAATCCTGACACTTTAGATTGCATTGTAAGGCAGGCTTCATATTGTGTTGCAATACAATTACATACGTTTTCATTTCTGATGACTGAGTTTGTTTTGGCCACAATCGATAGAAAATGATGTAATAGAAAATATGATATGCAAAACCATTTCATTAAAAACATACCGTAAAGAATTAGATTTGTTTCTGGCCACAATCGATAGAAAATGATGTATATAATAGAAAATATGACATGCGAAACGATTTTATTAAAAACATAAAGAATTAAGAATTTTTTAATACATAAAACAGTTTAAAAAATTGTGTTAATTTTATAAAACTTAAAAAATCAATTATTGGAAATCCTTTAAAAGTATTGTATTAACGTTAAGGATAAAGTTGAGAAAATAATAGCTTGAGATAACTCGTTGAAATCTTTTTAACGTTATTATCTGTCAGATTATATCCAGCAGAGAAGCGTGGCTTCGTCGCATGCGGGTTCGACGGGTAAACTCTTTTAATTTTGTTCGCTATCTCTTGGAAACTTTCTATGCCCGTCCCTGTACACTTCGTCACTCGAATCCCGCTGAAACTGATCCTCTGCGAGATGCCACATGTTGACAGTGGTTGTACAACGCTTACGGTAACCCGCAAAGGAATGCTTTCGAATCAAGTGATATCGTATAGCGAGTGTTCAGTTAATATTCTAATCAAACTATTATTATATAAAATTTTAGTATTTTATTACTTTTTCGAATGTAATTATATTGATAATGCTCAGGATTCATATATCTTTATCGTAATTTACTTCTAATTAATCTTTCGCAAAAATTAAAAATACATCAACTAACAAACACTTGTATAAATTTGTATAATAAGAAATGTTTTTTTTTTTTAATATTTTTTAATAGGAATGAGAGTAGAGAAGACTATATGATATAAATCATTTCCAAGTTAACTCGCGAAAATGATAATGCCGAGGATTCCCCAACATATAAGCATACACGCCGCTCTATGAATTATAGGTGGTGGCACAAACTATCTAAAGTAACTCCATAAACATCTAACTGTTCTAATCCAAAATTATTAGTGACATTAAGCTGTGCAAGAATACTCCGATATTTTTGCATTGCTATATTAAATCTCTCGCAAAATATAAACTGTTGTCCGTGTTACATATAGAATAGCTATCGATCATTTTCGGGGATAAATTGACATAATAATGTTAAAAAGTTCTTTTTTTTTGTTATCAATCAATTACGTTTTTTTTGTGCGCGCGTACAACGCTTTCACTCGTAACTTTCGTGTTGCATTAACGATGCGGTTGAGTAAAGTAACGATTGTTGCATCGCGGGTAGCGTGACTGTTGAGTGCGCACATAAATGGAAAATATGCGAATAATTTAAACTTTGAATATATATATATATATATATAAAACGTATATGTGTAGAATATACACGCAGATGTATTAAATGCCTCTGAGCTCTCTCGCGTGTGTATACAGATATAGAATATTTCTTAAAAACTGATAAATGCGATTCACAAAAAGAGGATAAAATGTGTATCGCACTTTCTTCATATTACCACGGTAAGTAAGGTTTACCGAGAAAGAAGGAAAAACTGTTATGACATTTCTGTGCGTTTTCCACACGAACGTTTTTATTAACCGCAATCTGTTGTACCCGAATGCACCGAGATTTCAGCGCTAACACACACGCGAAAAAGATTGAAGACATTTTGCTCGTGATATTAGCGAGATTAGATTTTTGCCTCTCTCACTTCGTTACACGTCGCGGAGAGAGAAAAATTTCTACGTTTTCTTATAGGAAATTATTTGGTGGTTACGGACACATGGTGTGCGTTTAAGGTTTAAATCATGCGATTCTGGCATTTAAATAATGCAATTTCTGGGTATTACTTGAGGCTTACAGTCGGCTAAAAATAATCCCCGCGTGCGGATAAAATCCTGCGGAAACGATACATACTCGAAACGAAATGGATGTTAGCGTTTTTCGCGATTTTTGCATTTTTACCTTCCTTTTTGCATATAATGCGCTAAAGAGATTACGCCGTATTATCAATTCTTTGTTCAAGCGAGGGAGAAATGCAAACGTTCGCGCGCATACCAGATCGCTTTTTCATTTCGCTTTGCGCATACCGTGTCCTATATAGTGTATTATTTCGCGTGTGTGTTTCTTTTTTCTTTTTATTCGTAATCGCATTATCTTTAAGCATCCTTTTCATTTACAGCGCGGTACTAATAACAAGTCTATAGCTATTCCATTAGTCATTAAACGAATCTGCTTCGTCGCAATTTTGTGAACTGGTACAGTTTACTGAAGTTAATAAAAATATATTTTAATATATTTTGTGAAATAAAAGTGAATGATATTATCACTATAATAAGCAGTGATTATAAATATAACTGTAAAAGCAATGAAATCTCACTAAGGAGAATCAATAATAATTTTTCAAAGAAATTTTACTATCATAATAGCTGAAAGAGAAGATGGAGAAAGCACAGTGCGAATATTCTCACTGAAATATTCATTAATCTTTGATAAAATTTTATCATTGGTTTAATCAATAACATTTTCATTGATGCTGAAATGTAGAAGAGCACTTTTAATATTTATGCTCGAAGGAAGATATATATTATAATATATATATAATATGATTTTGATATTGAAATAGTTAATACATAATAATTTCTTCTGATAATAGAGTTTTAGAGTAAAAACGTCAAATTGTGCGTGTAAAAAATGTATAAAAACAATAAAGCTTTATTGTATAATTATTATTAGAACACTAATAACGTTTGAGTTTTGTCTGTATTTCCAACACATCATTTACGTAATGTTTGTATAACTGACTATTTTTCAATTCTTATTTAAAACAGAAGCGATATATAAAATCTTAGATTATGAGATATTTGATTAAAATTAAACGTTATGCACATAAGAAATAAAAGAAAATTCTATATAAATAAAATCTATAATCCTATATATATATAACTATCTATATATAACTTTATATAAAACTGTACAATATATAACTCTATACAAACTCTATGTGACTCTAAATATAGATTAAAATCAAACAATTATTAAATTTTAAATTATTTAAATTATTTGAATTATTTAAATCATCAGATTTTAATCTAATAATTAAGCTTTCCTATACATATATATTTTGTGAAAAAATCTTAAAGCTTACAATTGCTTGGTGTATTTAAAATCGTTACAATTTGCATACCATTACTGCATTTTCGCGTATTATTTCCGGTCCCGTGAATAAACAGTGTCGGACTTTACCGCACTTTGTTTCATTTTATTTTTATAACGATACAATCCATAAAAAAACGCTCCACCGCTTTGTACTGAAAAAATTGCGTAAATCACAGTTTTCACTTATCCGTGCTCATATCTTCTTTTTAAATGGTGGAAAAGAGTCACTGTATATTAAATTATAATATTTTCTTTATTTCTTGTATATACCGTATTTAATCAAATATTTTATAATTTAGCATTTTATATATGTATATGTATCGTCTCTGTAATCTAAAAATAATTAATTATATACAAATTGTATTTTACATAGATGATGTATTAGCAAACGCACAACAAAAAGATAAAGTTCAATAAATTATTAATCATTTTTGAAGTTAAAACTAGGCCATAAAATCATAGAAGCACCCATATATGCATCGTCATACATTTGCACATCCATACACATACACATACACACGCACGAACATTTATCAATATAAGATCCACTTAAAGATTACGTGACATTTCCATCAACCTACTGCTTCGTATATGCAGATTTTAACAACATTGTGCGCTTCGTGTGTTTCATGTGGTCATGACATTTTTTTTATTGCGACAATGTACCCTTGAATATATTCAAATATTACGACAGAATTGGAACGTTAGTTGGCGCAATATTTTAATGTAAAAATGGAGCTTTCCAGCATAATAAATATGTATTAGATTATATATAAGCAATACGCGAGAGAGAACGTTATTCAAAAAAGCGTTATTTAAAAAAGAAAAACAATTAAAGTAAAAATATATTTTTTGTACACACTATTTTCCAAATAAATTAAATGTTGAATTATTTATATTTCACGTTTGTTTTGTTAAGCTAATATCTTTACAAAATTATAATTGTAATATTATTTTTTTAATTAAAAGATTAGAGTAAACAAATTTTAATAATAAGATAAATAGAAAATAATGGTTTAATAATTTATGTATAATATAAAATATATATATAATATCTAATTGTAAGTAAAAATTATATATATATATATATATATATATATATTATACATATATTAAATTAACACATGTTGCTATCCACACAATATTCATTTGCTAAACAAGATATCGATAAAAACGGGTACAATTTCGTTGTGTATTTTGAAATCACAAAATGCAAAAAGTGCATTATGCTTTTTTCTCATAAAGTCTAATTAAAACCACTTTACTACTAAAATGCTAGTCTCAGCGCAAAGAGACGGTCGATCAGATTACAAGCTATATTTTAAGCACCGTCTAAGCAGTAATTTAGCTGGACACCACTTTAAGTTTCGCCAAGCAGAAGAAGTGTAATCAGATTTTAACTCGTGCATCTTACCAGCTATAAAAGCTATTTAAAATTGCGTTTTCTTTTCGACAAGAAGTGCCACCGCTGCAGTGCGCGTTAATTATCACGAGATAAAGTGGGAAAGCGAATTTTTTGTTTTTATTATAATCCACCTGTACATTTCGTGGCAATTATCACTCTCTGCACTAATGCAATTAAATATAAAAAAAGTCACATAAATAACGGAAATTAGATGAAAACGAGATAAACTTTAATATAAAGTATTAATTATATTTTCGAATCAAATATAAAATATTGTAATTTATATATGTCCCTGTGCAAGCAAAAAATATTATATATAGTTATGATTATATATTTATTTATGAAAATATGTATTTTTTGTCTGTATGTACAAAA